AAAAACAATTAGAAATTGCAATATTAAAAAAAAAAAAAAAAAAAAAATTAGGTACACGCTTACAGTTTATGGTGTGATGACAAGCACCAAAAAATGTTTTAATTAGAAATTATTTGGGTATACCAACATTTGAATACAGGTACTGATAAAAATATCTCCAAGCCCCAAATGAACTGAACAGCTAACCAGGTATGTGTTGACAGTGTTGTTGAATTAGTGATACTGGTACCCTTCCAACCTACCAGAGAAGCTGCCCGAAGACACTATTTAGAATAGAGCATTACCAACGCCAACACAAGTGGAAGTACTGATACTTGCTTAGGCTACTGATTGCACATTATATCCAGGAAAAGGAGAATACCATATATGTAATATCAGTTCAGGTCACTTACACTTGTCCTCTGGACTGCAATTGCCTAGGCCTAGATGAGCCTACCCATTACTATTATTTATTAGTATTATTATTATAGTTTATATCAATCATATCATATGGTGGCATAAATAACAACATGCGGTAGGCTACTTCCAAATAAAATGCTCACATTTATATCATTTGATTAGCCAGTTTGGATCAAAACACTTTTTGAAACAAAAGATTTTTATAAACCGGAATGAAATATTGTAGTCTCAGTGGAAAACGATGCCACAACGTATCAACATAAATCGAAACCAATTTTAATAATCTGCTGAAAATATAGTGACACTTAAAAAGTATACCATTCATTCTTAAAGATATGCACATGTAATTACAAATTATATTACCATGTTTTGGTAAAAATCGAAGCTTATTAGACTCCGATTTTAAATGATAGCTTCGGTCTTAGGGAACCCTAACCGGAAAAGGAAACAAACTTATTTTGGTTTCATGTTGTCGTGAAAAGATGTTAAAATTTAGAAATAACTTTTGATTTACAAAACAAATAATAAATACAAAATTGTGAATATGAATAGTGGAAAAATGTATGCTAATCTATAATATGAACTTTTAAAAATGCTAAATATAAAATTAAGAAATTAAATGTGTTTATAACATAAAAAAATGAAGTAAATTATGCGTTGCCAAAAGTATACTACACATTTTATACCGTACTTTATTTAGTTATATTTCAGTCCGTTCAAATTCAGAGGTTTCAGGAAAAAATAAGGAAAGAGTATGATTAAAATAAGGAGCAATTAACAAAATATCCCTCACTATGTCTTTATCAAGTATAGCTGTTTAATAAATGACTTATCGTATATAGATTTACTTGATAAAATCTATTTTCAAAAGAACAAAATAAAAGAATATGCAGATATAGGCCTATGCTCAAAATATTTTTAAAGTTAAAGTAAGATAAAATGCACAATTTTTAAATATGTGCACAGATAATCTTAGAATACACCAGTGGGGGAGCCAGTGGCGATATGAGACATTGTGCCGCCCGGGGTAGACCTTGAATTTGCCCCCCCCCCCCCTTTTTTTTCTATTATCCTAACACATGCACAATTTCCTATGCTTGAATTTAGCACATGCTAGTTAGCCTACGACATATATTTTAACTGGTTGGTTATTTGGATACCTAGCCCTTTAATTTGCCCCCCCCCCCCCTTTTTTTTCTATTATCCTAACACATGCACAATTTCCTATGCTTGAATTTAGCACATGCTAGTTAGCCTACGACATATATTTTAACTGGTTGGTTATTTGGATACCGTTGTATCAATCGCTTATAAGCACATTGCCGTATGCTTAACCAGAACGATATACCAGTTGGTGTTATTCTCACATGCCCACTGGTATCTTTTTCCATTTAAGAATTCAGTGGACGACTGTATGTTCAACGATCACGACTTCATGGTAACTCGTCAAATTGACGAAGTTTACACGTGATTAAAACACTGCCTAGATAAGTGATGAACAGAACTCTCCCATTACTAACATCTAAAAATTGGATTCTACAAACACAAAATGTAACGGCGTATTTGCTTACACTTGCAAAGCGTCCACGTGTGCCGGTGAACAATGGAGCCCTTCAGGGATGCGACTAACACTTTGAATGCCAAAATACACTGACGCGCTCTTTTGAAAATTAAACATGCCTTTCTATTACTTGACTTCTGGCAGATTGCCTGTGTTAAATTAACAATCCCTTATAGAGACTCCAAGCTGAGTAAAAGTCAAAGCCCTGGACCAAAACCCTGTAGACTTATATGTGTCTCTTCACGTTTTGTCTCGGCTATCTAAGATACACTGTTATATTTTTATAAAAATAATAATAATAAAGTTTATTTGAAAATCACGCTTCATCCCCAAAGGCTCGAAGCGCGGTACAAAGTCAACAATATTAAAAGAGAAATGAAAAAATCTATATTATACCGCATTGAAAAACAAAACGCAACATTACAAAAACTACATACGAGAATAAGTTAAATGGTATTTGAGATATTTTAAATAGAAGGGGTTGGTAGATTTTCAAATATACTAAGGTATATAGAATAAAATCCCCTTTCTGACAAGATATCATTTATAGCCTACTACCATCGGGTTCCCGAGAAATAAATTATTGAATTTATACAAAACACATTGCTCTTACCACAATGTACTGAAAAAATGGCTTTTAAATAAGGTAAATGATCGGAAAGGAAAACATTTGAGAACTTAATTTTCCAATATAATATAACAGGCAACATATTTAATTTCATGAATGAAATTGTTACTCAAACTTTAAGGCAGCATCACAATTTTTTTAAAAAAGGCAACATAACTATTTCTCTTAGTCTATTGTTTCAGACGGTGACCCCACATACATCCCTTCGCAAACCCATTTAAGGTCACCTCCCATGGAATGCACATGGACTGTGCTCTACTACAGCGGTTTCCAACATGTGGTACGCGTACCCCTTGAGGTACAGCTCGGGCCGCTTGGGGGTATGCAAAAATTGGATTGATGATGCCAGGAAAAAGGTACGCGCTGATTTTATTACACCCGTTCATTTACGGGAAGGTATATTTAAACGAAGTGGCTGTTCGCACCCGGGTACCAGAAGTGAGAGGTTGGGATTAAAAAACGATTTAAAATATTACTGTTGTGTTTGTAAGACAAAATGAGGTATCACATGAACGATAGTTGAATGTTTGTAAACTTAATTCTTCGGTTTAACTAAAACAAACTACCCCAAATGACATCCGAATAGCACTGTGTCAAAATGGACTTAGACACGCAGCGCCGCCATTCGCACCCGGGTACCATTAGACTCAAGCTATATTTTGATACATTTTAATGATGACTGGGAGTAGGAGAAGTGTGAATGTGTAAGGGGGGGCAGGGCAGGCTCTACGATTGCTGGCGCCCCTTGGAGTATAATCTTAAAAATGTGTGCAAGGAAAAATTGGAATTAGGTTATGAGTTTATTATCTAGGTTGTTTTATTAACAAAGAATGAAAAATACAATTATTTTAATAACGTGTATTTTGACAGTATGAGCAATTAGCCTACCTTGGGCAGTATGAACAATTAGCCTTCCATGACATGTTTTTCTAGCCGGTAGATCAGCCATTCTTTTTATTGCACTTTCTATTTTTCTTCCATGGCGCCCACATACAATGATTTTTCCTGTTGTGGAAGATCGTTGATGGGGCCCTAAGCACATGGCGCCCCGGGGCAACTGCACTAGTTGCTGGTACCTTGAGCTGGCCCTGTGTGGGGGTACTCGTAACTACAAAATCTAATAAAGGGGTAGGCCCACAGTAGACAAAAATATTTGGTAGCCGCTGATCTTGTAATTTGATTAGCCTTAGACGTTCATACTTCAAACTCCTTTATAGTATGTAGTGTTTTTTATGCATAGAGAAATGTATTAACATTCCTAATTGTTTTTTTTTTCCTTCAAATACTTACTACGCTATTGACATGTCTCTACTTACAATAGGGCGAAGTTAACATTAAATGATAAACAGCACCATTTTAATCTTTGTTGTTCAAAATTTTCTAGATATTCCACCCAGGGACGTCATTTGGGTAGGGCAAGGTGGGGCATTTGACCACCCACGCTGAATTTGCAAGTTTTCTTTAAATTGCTATGTACTGTTGTGCCTCCAGTAATAAACAACTTAAAACAAGCCGACCAAGTTTATATTTCCCCCCTCCCCCCCCGAAAAAACAAGAAATGACACCCCCGACCCTACCCATACCCGTCGCGTGATTTTTGGAGGCCCCTTTTTGATCGTGTGACCCCCTGCATTCAAGGTTGATAGTTTAATTTTTTTTAAAAAAAGTTAAATTTCACCCCTATCTAATTAATATTATTTAATACATGTTATAGGAACACCACATATTGATATAGTCGGTCCTGGGATTATAATTAATCACATTTCTGCCTCTGGATAGCCTCAAACCCCAAGAGCTTATGATGTCATAATAATAATGACGTTTCGTTTGCAAATGTCGTTGGCTAAGCCAATCAAAATTGGATAAATTGACTTATCACGTCGTAGGCATAATGGAAGGGAGAAAAAAAAAGATGACAGCAATTTGTGTGTAAATGTTCCTGAGGAACTAACTCGCATCCCTAATAAATATATTTATAAGTTGTTTTATGCTTGGAGAGGATTTACAAATATCTGGCAACAGGTTTGATAACGAGTTGGGACTTGCTTTTAAAGACAGTGCGCGTTTCAGAACCTCTTATCGTACAACTTCGTTATTTAATAGAACCGGAAGCGATCGCAGTGTACGTTTTTTTTCCGATTCGAAGTGTAAACAAACATTCAACTTCTCAATAATGAGACTTAATCAGTTGTTCAATTGAGAAAATGTCAAACGCTTTCATAATCCCTTCAGTTCGACCTAGAGCTAGGGCTAGACCTACTACAAAAACATCGATACAAATAACAAATGCGCCTGAAAAACATCTCGAGTTCGCAGAGATGAAACGTAAGCTTTTGGAAACTGAGAATACGTTACGAAATCTGAACAAACTTGAAGAACAAGTCTTAAACGAAACGTAAGTTACTTACTTTAGATATTTAAGTAAGAACTATTTATTTATTCAGAATGTTAATATTTTCATTCGTTCCACGAAAGAACATTTATAATTTTCCTTATCAGTCAAATGGATTGAAAATCGATGGCATAAGACAGACGACTTAGTAGTAAGTATTAGTAAGTATTTGGGCTAGGACTAGGTCAAGTAGTATTAGTAGTAGTAGTAGTAGGTAGACTTGAGGACTCCTACTCATGCAGCTAGAAGAGTTTTTAATTTTTTAAAACTCACAACTGAAACTCAGAATTGTCTTATTTTAAAGATTACCTTAATGGGCTGTTTCAGATTGAGCGGCCCACGACGACTTTGTTTTGGATTCACTCCCCTTTATTTTTTATTCGTATAAAATCAATTATAATTTTTAAAAATTGCCTGTTTTAATTAAAAATTAAAAACCCATTTTGTAGGCATTGTTTCATTGTATTAGTAGGGCCTTCATCAGCCTTCATTTTATTTATTATATTTTTATCCACTCAATCTACTGGTGCATTGAGTAGAACTACTTTTATTTGGCTACCCTAGTCGTGAGACTTTTCATACTATAGGGCATAATGGGGGCCTACCACTCAAGCTCAATGAGGGTATGGCTATGCATTCATAAAGGAATATGAATTTCAATGTTTTGCAGGTGATTGTAAAGAAATTCAATAGTAGTCATTGCTGGAATGTTGTCTTGGTTAAAAAAAATAATTTCTATAACCGTTTTATTAAAATGAAAAATTGATTAGTGGATTGTTTTTTGACATCCTTAGTTTAAATTAAAATATTCCTCTTACTCTTAGCCATTCTCACTCCCAATTGAGCATAGGCCATCCACAATACTTTTCCATCTGTCCCTGTCCTGGGCTATTTTTGCTAGTTCAAGCCCAGCTTTTCTTCATTTTCTTCACCTCTGTCTCTACTATCTCTTCCATGAAGCTCTTAGTCTTCCTCTTTTCCTGGTACTTTGAGGATTCCAGTTCAGGGTGATGTAAGTGTTTGGTTTCCTTAATGTGTGCCCTATCCATCTTCATTTCCTCATTTTTATCTCTGTTTCCATCGGGACACTTGGTGTTCGCTCCCAAAGGACAGTGTTACATATTTTGTCAAACCATCTTATTTTGAGGATCCTTCGGAAGCATCTGTTTTTAAAAACCTGCAGTTTTTTTAATGTTTGTTTTTATTGTTCTCCAAGTTTCACAGCCATACAGAATTGCCTTGACATTTGAGTTGAATATTTTTAACTTTGTTTTTGTCAGTATTTCACTTGAGTTCCAGGTGTTTCGCAGGGCATTGGATGCTCTTCTGGCCTTTTGGACCCTAGACTTTATTTCCTCATCTGTGCCACCGTTTTTATTTATGATGCTTCCCAGGTATGTAAAGGTTTCAACTTCTTCAAGAGAGGCTCCTATAAGGTTAATTCCAATGACTCCATCATCCACTGCATTTATTCTTAAGGTCTTTGTTTTCGCTTTATTTATGCTAAGACCAATTTGCTGGGATACAGAGTCAAGTTTTGTTGTTTTTTCCTGTATTTGTTTATGGCTATGTGATAAAAGTCCAATGTCATCTGCAAAATCCAAATCCTCTGTCTGAAACGTGTCCACTGGATTCCATTTTTCCCAACTCGTGTTGTTTCTCTCATGATCTAGTCAATGGATAACAGAAAGAGGAATGGTGAGAGCAGGTATCCCTGTCAAACTCCAGATTCTATCTTAAATGGGTTTGTGAGTTCACCTCAATGTATAACCCTGCAAATCAGATCCTTGTATGTGTTCTTAATTAAGCAAGTTAGCTTTTGGGGAATACCATAATGTGTTAATAATTTCCAGAGTATATCTCTGTCTAAGCTGTCAAATGATTTTTCGAAGTCGACAAAATTTAGATACAATGATGCATTCCACTTCAAGCCTGTTCCATGATTATGCGCAGGGTTGCAATTTGGTCAGTACATGATCTTTTTTCTCTAAAACCATCCTGTTCATCTATTAGCTTGGATTCTATTGCTTTTTTTATTCTTTTAATTCTATTTAGTATTTTTCCTAGTACAGAAAGCAGTATGATTCCTCAATAATTTCCACACTCTTGGAGATCATCTTTCTTTGGAAGTTTGACCAAGTATCCTTCTCTCCACTCCATGGGTATCTCTTCTTGTCCCAGATAGTCACAATTAGCTGGTGATGTATGCTTGATGACAGTTCCAGGTCTATCTTAAGTACCTCTGCAGGTATTCCATCAGGGCCAGCGGCCTTTCCATTTTTCAATTGTTTGATCACATTTTTAATTTCTGTTCTGTTGGGTGCATTGCAGTCAATGAGAAGATCTTCTTCTGCAGGGAGAATTTCAGGTGGTCTTGTGGGGCTGGCCTGTTTAGTACCTCTTTGAAATATTCTAACCATCTTTTCTTTTGTTCATCTTTGTTTGCTAGCTTTTTCCTCAATTTGTCTTTGATTGGCCTGCTTTGTAGATGAAACTTTCCTGTGAGTCTCTTTGTTGCATTGTACAGGTCCCGTAGGTTACCTTTTGATGCAGCTTCTTCAGCCTCCCCAGCAATATCATTAATAAATAAATCTCCTTTTATCTGATGTTCTTTTAACCACTTGGTTTGCATTTGCGTAGTTGTTAAAACAGTCACTTTTGCTGCTCTTGTTTTAAAATAAATTATCTTTTTTCTTTTCCTCTCTTAAATTTAATTTTGTATATTGTTTCTTTTGAGAACAAATTAAAACATTATTGAATGTATTGATGCTTAGCCATTGAAGTATAGAAACTCATATAAGCTGAATTCTAAAATGTTTGTTAAAATATTAAATTAAGATTTTGAACAAAGTATTCATTTCAAAACAGATCTGATTTAGCCATATCTGTGAACGAACATCAGGCTAAAGTCTATGGAAATCCAAATTCAGAAGATGGAACTGGCAGTGTTAGGTCTGTTCCAGATTCATACACTTGGTTTGCTGCACCTAAAATATCAAGCAGTACACCAAGCAAGACTGTGGTATGTCACAATCATCAAAATGTAGATTGAGAGAATCTGTTGTGCCTCTTTAAAAGTAACATTTTTTTCTTTTTGGTGCTGTTACTTGAATAACAGTCTAGCAAAATAATTTATCTGCAGCAAAGATCCTTATTTGCAATAACTTGATATAAATTTTGTAACATCAAGGTAAAAATTTAATTAAAATTTTATCAACATACTTACAGCTTTAAAAAGTGTTTGGTGTAATTTTCTTTGCAAGTGTAATTTATTTTTCTCACTTTTCCTACACCTTTTATACCTTTTTCTTTTTAAAGCAAAATTCTTTGCCTCTACAAGGGGAGGAAAGTTTTTCCTCTGACAACTCGACTTCTACCAATACCTCTTCAACAAAACAAACGCAATCTTCCTCTAAATACGAACGCAAATTACTGCACCAAAATCAAAGGTTATTGAAAGAAGTTGAACGTTTGATGAAGGAACTTCATAAAGCTAAAATTGAGGTACATTAAAAAAAAAATTGATTGTAAAAGCTGTATTTCACCTTTTACCTCTTCTTAATGGTTAGATAAATTGATAAAAAAAATAATTATATATATATAACACTATAAACACTATGTATTATTTTCATTCTATGTAGACATATGAGTTATAAAGAATCAAGATATTTTAGAGTATATCAAAATCAATGATAACATTCTTCTGATAAAAAAGAATGACCTCTACCAAAAAATAATCCAGAATGTTAATGTATATCATGAAAGTGATTTGCATATTAAATTAACCAATTAAGAATTTATATGGTTTGTTATTTCAGAGTCTTATCAGGCATGACTTACTCAAACTATGTCTTACACACATTTAAGACATGGAATAAACATTTTTAAATTTGTTCACAGGCTGCATCACTTGAAAGGTCAGCAGAGATAGCTAATAAAGTTCCTGATCTTGAGGACAAAATTGAAGGCCTTATTGCAGAAAGCCGAGCTCAGGACAAAGCCTTGAGGTAAATGCTTTCCATAGTTGGTGTATTTAATGAGATGAATCCTAGTTTTGTAAATGGGAAATGCATTATTTAAAAAAAGATTTTGTTGTGGTATGCTCCATAACAGCAAGATGTGACTTATGAAAACTTATTACAGAAATAATTGTATTACTTTTGTGTTAAAAATTCCTTATTTGAACTATGGTAGGTGCACAAATGTATAAATATAGCATTTAAATATTACCTATGCACTGAAGAGAGCGGGTTGTTGGTTTTGCAGATTTTGCATACAGAATGTACATGAATTTATGCACAAAGTCTGAAAAAATTGTCCTGAAATTTTGACAGTCTATAAATTATATCCTGTTAATATATCTAATAAAGCCAATTATAAACCAAATATCTGTGAAATCCATGGTTTCTAATTATTTTGGGAGCTTTAAAAATATCACCATACTTATCATATTGTTGATTTTTTTTCACAAAAGAAGTCCCTAGATATCACATAAGTAATATTTTTCATATGACAACTTTCAGTCCACCATTTGCATGTGCATTGGGTGTAATTTTTGAAGCATATGTGATACTTAATCTAAACCCGAACTTTTGAAAAAAAATATTACAAGGAAATAAGTGGGGTGAATTTGAGTATGTTACCATAAAGCAAAAAAACAAAGGTACTGAAAGTATATGGCACCACTATTCAGTCCTTTATAGCACCCGCATAATATCATCCTAATATATTTTTGGTAATGTATTACTTCATTGGCATTACATGTTATGACTAAAAACTTTTCAGGCTTTTTCCATAAAAAATTATGGGGTTGGCTTGTGACCATACAGTCTTTAAAATGAGTATCTACAACTACCATAATTATTTTGCTCAGCTGCACCGATTATTATATTGGATATGCCAAACAGACATTTGAAAAAACCAGTCACATTATTTTTAACACCTTTACAACCACTTTGTTTAATTACAGTGTGCATCACAATTGCCTATAAATGAAAGTGGGTGCTTTATGAGGGGGTGGGGAATTTCATCTATATTTATGCATTGGGGGTAGCATTGGGGGTCGATGTTTCCAAAAAAGTATGCATAGCTTTTGGCATATCTAATAAATGGATGGCCCCTTATTTAAATCTTGCATCCAGATTTGGATATCCTGAAAATTATTTTGTAACAGAAATGATAAAAATATGCATCTGCTTGGAATATTTAGATTTCTTTTTTTGTAATAAATAATTTTAAATTGTAGATATCCCCATTTAATATCTTTTCCACTGATTTCAAAATAAAGGCTACCAGGCCAGTGGCGTAGCGAGGGTGTTTGGCGCCCGGGGACAAGATTCCCGCCCGCGGACAAGATCCATTTTAAAGCACCCCCTTTTCTTTTTTTCAACTCTAAAACCCATTATTTTTACCAATAATATAATATCAAATCACATTTTGGCGCCCCTAACTAGCTTGCGACCGGGGACATCTGTCCCCCCCTGCCCCCCCATCGCTACGCCTCTGTACCAGGCTACCAGGGATTAGTTTGGAAGTTATCAATCATTTGCTTTCATCACTGTTAATTTTTATTTTTTATTCTTGGATTTTAAGTCCAAATACAGACAAAATAATTTAAATAATATATAGAGCAGTGCCACTTGTATCCTATTCCTGTGTCCAATTTATTTCTACATATCAAAACTCATTCTCATACTCAAAATATTTATATTCATAATTAAAAAAAAAAAATGCTCTGTAGGGATGCTGAGAGACACCTAGAAGAGGGAGCAAAAAGAAATGCTGAATTGCAAAAAAGGCTTGAAGAATTGGAAAATTATCATGCTGAAGTTTGCATGGAATTGGAAGAAGTCAAGTACTCCAAAGATGAGTAAGTTATGCTGTTGTCTAAAATAGAAAAATAAGGTCAAAATAACATTTCATGCCACTGTTATATGCTGTCAGGAAAGAGTAGTATTTTCATTGTAGATTTTGAAATAATTTTATAATGTAAATATTCCATTTATAGATTTTGAATGGCTCTTACGCAGCTATTTGAGTTCACATTATTTATCTAAGTGCAGCCACCCTTTGTAGTGTTTGAGTTCTTGATCAATCAATGTATTTACATATATAAATGGATTGTCATCATTTAAAAGTTTTTCTGTATTGTTTATAATTTAAAAAGTATTCAGTTTATATTCAATTTTTAAAATTAAAATTTTGCTCAAGATTCATGCAATTATTTTATTTTAAGGTTTCCTTCTTTTTTTTAATTTGTGAAGTAAAAATAAAGCTATAATGGGTACTTTATTATGTGAAATGTGAGTTTAATTAATTGTTACAAATCCACAAGTGCACATCCACAAGTATACTTAGTTTTACTAATTTAATGCTATAAACATAAATAACAATATACTACTAAAATCCTATCAGTTATTTTCTGAAATTAACATTTATGCATTATATTTTCTGTACATGACCTTTTTTTTGCATAATATGTATATTTTACAATATGAGTTCTATCCTTTATTACTAAATGAACTGTCATAAAGGAGACAACTAAATAAACACAACTGAAATACAAAATTGTTATTTAAGGGGAGCAATTGAATTACTAAATGCATTTTACTACAATTATTTAAGATGATTTATTTTCATGATGCTCATTATAATTTCACAATGCTCAGAAAGTTTAAATTTGCTTACAACCAGAAAGACACAGTGAGGTTGACGGGGTATGCTAGGGAGATGGGAATGTTTCAAAAACTATACCTAAAGTGTCACTGGGTAAAGCCCAGGAGGTACAATTTATCATGAAAGTTTAATAAATATCATATTACGTCAGGGGTTAATATTTAAAGCCTGAAAAGAATAGTAGAAAATTATTTTAAAAACAGTTATAAAGACTGTTTAAAAAAAAAGGATTTATGCTGGTTTTCAAATGAAATGTTTTGGCACTGGTCTTTAAATGAAATGTAATGGCACTGGTGTTCAAATCAAATGTTCTGGCACTGGTATTTAAATGAATGTTATGGCAATGGTCTTCAAATGGAATGTAATGGAACTGGAAATTTTCTTGTTTTACATTGAGTTAATTACGGAAAAGAGAAAACATTTGTTTAAACAATACTTGAATGGTGTGTTTGAAAACTGCTAAAAGGTATTTTGTAATTGTAATAGCACATAATAAGAAGAGTACTAAAACTTATGGGAACCAGGCTCATTATATTAACTCTGAGCAATTTGTACTCTAATAATAAAACAATAAAAAATTTATTCAGATTTCCAAACATTACTCATTTAAAAGTAAAGTATTTAAATCTTTTTATAAAAAAAATGAATTAATTAATTAATATTAGCTCTATGTTAAAGTTGTTAATTGTATTTAGATGTAGATGTGGAAAGCAATGGTGTTCTTTAAAATTAAAAGGAATGTGCCTTGAAATGGCTAACATTACCACACTGCATAGTTAAAAAGAGATTTACATCTTACATTATATTTAATCAAATAATCTTCATGAATGTCAATCATTTAGGCAGAGTGTGACATGTGGCTAAACACTTTAAATGCATTCTAGGTCTGGACAAATTATTGTCACAGAAAGGCTTTCTCATTATTGTGTTTCTCCAACCACTTGAAAAAGTTCATTCATTTAGTTTTTTTGCACATGAAGTTCTAAAAAATTGGATATTCCCGATTTATATTTTTCCTTTTTTGGTGTTTTATTATAAGCTCTTACTGAAAGCACTGTCTAGAAACACAGTTACCTGGGTTAGCCATAATGGAACTGACTAAGAGTTTGCCCTTGAAATTGGTGGCCTATTGAGGACTAATAGGTCTGCTCTAGCAATACTGACATTGTTCTTCATTTAAAATTATTAGACTCCATTGTCATCATTGAACAGTTATAGTAGGTTTTTGCCAGAAATTAATGATACTATATGTTAGATACTTAGATACAAACTTTAATATAGGCAGATGCCCTTGTGATGTCTGGTCTTCTCTGGGGACTGATTACATTTCTACCCAATTCCCAATATTTACAAACAGATCCACTGTTGTTTAGCCAAAGAATTATGTATAAATAATATTTAAGATTAGAGATGTAATATTTTATTTATGGTCATACTTCTTAAGCAAAATTGGCTGTGCCACTGGCACTTGGCCTAAGGCCTATGACTGACATGATTTAACAAAACAAAAATGTTCTTCCCAGCAGAATTTTGAAATATGAAAAGGGGTGCAGTATTTGCTTTATCAGTGAGACTCCGGTTGCCATCTGGGATACAGAATAAATCTGTTAGAAGATTAATAACTAATACAAATCATTGTAGTATTAGGGTTGGTGGGGTTGGGTGGAGTCAGAGCTGCAATATGGATAATTTTGGCACGTCCATCGCACTGGAAAGTTTGAAAACACTGCCTTTGATAACATTGAGAATTTATATTGAAACAAATGATTTTTAAAAAGTTTTTTTAATGATATAAGAAACCTTCTCTGAACTTGGTAAAGTTGAGCTACTCTGAACACTGCACTTACCTTTTAAACATATAATTACCAAGTTTTGAGAGTCAGAAAGGTGAAATAAGTCTAAATTTATTATGGTTTACTTTTAGCATGACACAACTAACATATATTTTTTTTGGATACATTCAATGTTTCAACCTGCAGTGTATTGCTAGAATATTCACCTGCAAAGTTTATGAGATAGATTATTCCCTGTTGAGTAACTTATTAGTTATTTATTTTGAATTTAAAGGAGAGAAATATTATAACTGCAGAATCATTTTTAAATAACAATTTCCAGAATTGAAAAGAAAAGAGATGAAGCATTGCACGATCTGATGGAGGCCCATGATTCACTGGAAGATTATCAGCGTAAAATTAAAGACAAAATTAAAAAGGTCAGTTTGGCATAGTATTAAATTTACCTCCTTTTTGCAATTTCAATATACCTTTTTAATTATCCTCGTCAGATTGTCTATTTTTTTTTCTTCCCCAAAATGAAATACACTTAAAAACTAAATGTGTAAATAGATCTCCTGCCCTTCTAGAAGACTTCAATCAATACTTGTTGTGCTTACTAAATAATAATTATAAAATATCATTATAATTATAGACATTGGTTATGATTAAAGATAGTTGGAAAGCTTCTTACTTTTCAGCTATTATGATGTGTGCACTGCTCTCTGCTCTTTACTTCAATGCACATATTTTTATTGTTTAACAACTGTTTGACAAAAGTTTCAAACATTTTTTAATGTCAGAATCTAATATTATCAGCTATTTTATTATTTCTTTTTCACAAATTAATGACCTTTGCTTCTTTTATATTGTCTAAGATGGAAAATGTTGAAGATGAATTTCGTGATGCCTTGGCCCGTGCTATTCAGGAGAGGGATGATGCCTTGGAGCAGGTATCTGATATGCAAACATCGCTGGCGTCACAAGAGGCACAGATCAAGTATGTTTATTTAACCTTGCCAGTTTACTTCTCAATAAGAATAATAAGATTGTACCATCATAAACATTGTCTAATTATAGAATAATTAATGTTTTTAATTATTTTATTGGTTTCATTTTAATAGTTATGAGATGTTTTAAAATAATATTATTCTTAATTTACTTACACATTAATTAAAGATTATTATTGTCATTTTTTACTTTAATGTCAATCCTTTATTAATTAATAGTATATAATGGTAAGTCAAATAAGTGTGTGCATAGATTTGTAATTTCACCATTTTAGGCAAGGAATTTGTGAGAATTATCGGTTTTTACAAGGGTTTACAATTTTAAATCATCTGTACTACATTAAAATAAATAAACACAATAATATCCCTTACAAACAGATTACATGTTGATTGGTCTAACAAGTTGATCTAAGTAAATTATCAATATTTTCAGAGGGTTAATTACTTGGATAAAGTTGGGAATCTCTATACTAAATCATTTAAAACAATCATCTCAAATAGTTTCTAATAATTATAATATAAACATAGTTAAAACTGATTGATTGGGGTAGGACACCATTATCAAATACCATGATGTGAAATTGATTAAGAAGTGTTTTATGTTTAAAAGCAATTATATAAAAAATGCAAACTATTTTATTGATGATGCTTCTTTTATTGACATCACAAACCTTAAAAACATTTTTAAAATCAAACATGATTTGTTCACATTATTTTTATTTTGCTTTAAAGCACAGAAATATCTGTTGATGTCCTTTTGTAAATCTCCTTTCCTTTTTTTACTTTTGTCAACTTTCACAGTCGCCTCCTCAACGATGTAGAAATGGAAACAACACGCAGGCTGGGGGTGGAGGAGGAAAAAAGGGGACTTGAAGAACAGCTTAAGTTATTGATTTCTGAACTAGGTGATTAAACACATCATTATTGCTTAAGAAACATATGATAATTGCTTTGCAGTATATTCTGATAAGAAACCAATTATTATTGCCTGACAGTATTTATCTGATAAGAAACACATTATTATAGCTTGACAGTATATATCGGATAAGAAACATAATTGCAATTGGACCATGTGGAATGTTTCAAAAAGTTCATCCGATAGTTTTTTGCTTTCCTTTTATTATTCATATTTATTTCTTCCCATTGTCTGTGAGACAAGTCATGAATGAAAATTTCATAGTGCATAAATTCAAGATTGATTTTTAGGCAGATTGATTTAAACTATGTGATAAGGTTTATGACATGAATTAACACCATACACCAATAATGTTGGAAAGAATTGCCAGTCTGTAATATATAGTAAAGGATTGGATGTATGAAAAATATTTGCAGACCTAGGTTGTAATGTAAGCCATTGAAGAAAAAAGCTTTTTAAACTTAAAATTAAATGAAAATATTGTATTAGAGCACTGTTAAAGGAGTTCAATTTGTCCTCTTAGATAAACTGGAGAAGGAAATGAAGGATGCTAAGGAGATTAAGAAAGAGAAACAGTTCCTTGAGGCAGAGATGCAGGAGCATCGAAAGCTGGCCCAAGAGATTGCAGATCTTCTAATGCAAGCTCACCACAATCAAAACAAAAACGTTCTGGTAAGAAAAACTTTAAAAGAAATAATGAGTTTATTTTAAAGTGAAATCCTATAAGACTATAAAAGAATATTTGTTGTCTGAAAATTCAAATTAAATCTTTAGAATACCTGAAAAATGCCTGACATGCCAGCAAGAATTTTTTAAGATAAGAGTTTTTGTTAAACTTTAAGAAATTTATGCTTAGTTGAAACTAAAAAGCAATAATTTTTAACCTTTTAAGACTTAGAATATGATTTTGGTTAACCCACAGGATGACAGTGGCACATATAGCATTCCTATTAAAAATGAAATTCGAGTCTGGCAAGATGAAATGATTTTGTCAGATGCTGAACTGAACAAGAACAACAATGGCTTGGAAGATGGGAATACTAACAATAATGGACTAAGTTGTGAGGGAGGGGGCACCACTATGATGGGGGAATTAAGGTAAGTAACTGAAGTAACTATTTTTGTTTTTGGGTCAACATGTCAATATGATTCATGCCTTGGGCTGCTGATGATGAGTTCAACTTGTCAAGTAAACAGGATTTCACTGCCCTGCTTTTGTTATTAGCATTGTTCATTAGGGTGAAAACTGGTAGGAATAAATACATCTTTGTGATGCTAAAGCTCACAATATTAAATGTCTAGTCCAACACAGCTCAACAAACAGCTATGTGAGCTAACATCAACCCTGTCTCACCTGTGTCATAGACAGCTTCCACCATAGCTGGAATAATCTTGTAATAACTCATGACATGATGGAAAATATAGTCTAGACTGTCGATGCAAAACATAATGCAACTTAATTAGTTTGATAGAGAATGTGTTGACAGACACTTTTGATTTGATAAGTTAATCAATTATGTCACATATGGTGGTTACTCCGTTCACTCTGTGGTGACTTTTCACTTGGCTGATGTGTAGGACAGAAACACCCTGATTAGGTTTAGACTACTTGGTTGATGTGTTGGAAAGAAACACTTTGATTAGAATTAAGTCTCATAAACTTGATTTTGATCCTTTTAATTATTTATGCCATTAAAACCATGGATAATTCTTCAACAATGTTAAATATGTGTACTGCTTTATATAAATTTAAAACAAATACAGGGTCTAATTTAATTTTTTTTTCATCCTTCGTTATTTTACATAATGAAATTATTTTTCATACTAAAACATTAACATATTCATTAAATTCTTTTACAGAAATTTGTTCACAAATATGGATGGGGAAATTCAACGTCTGCGGTACGACCTGAAACAGAGAGATGCAGACGACCGGACTTATCAAAATTTACATGATGAATTAAAGGTTCTCATGGACAAAGTTGAAGGAGGTAAGAAACAATACCCTCCATGGATGTAATTTTTGTTTGGTCTCTATAAAAAGTTTTACCAGTCTATTTTATTTAGACTTTGACCACAGGTTGCTCTATGGTTTATGTTTTAATTAGTTATCTATTCTTAATACCCCCCCTCCAAAAAAAATAGTAAAAAAAAAAAAAAAAGAAAAAAGAGATGCATCTATATATAACAGAGTAGAACCTATGTGCCCATTTTTATTTAAACTTTGACCACAGGTTGCTCTATGGATTATGTTTTAATTAATTATCAATTCTTAATACCACCCCACCAATAAAAATAGTAAAAAAAAAAAAAAAAGAAAAAAGAGATGCATCTATATATAACAGAGTAGAACCTATGTGCCCATATATTACATAGAAATGTGTTTATTCTATTATAGGTGTAAGAGCTAATCAAGAGCTAGAGTGTGCTGTTTGTGCCCTAGAAGATGACAAAAGAACCCTAAATCTGAAGTTGGATGAAGCCCTCCATGCACTAGCAGAGAGAGAGAGGCAGATTCAGTGTTTGGACACACGCCTTAATGAGCGAAACCACCAAGTGATTTGTTTGCAAGAAGACAACACTTTGAAGGCTCAGAGACTCTGTGCTCTTGAGAAAGACTTGGATGTAAGTCATTGTGTCTAACATTGACGCATAAAGAGTGAATGGTCTTAAGAGGGAATGGCATTACTTTGAAACAAAATAAATTCCAATCTGATCTAGGCAATATTAGAAGTTTATTCATGGAAATCTTAACTGAATTAATAGGCTTTAATGTACCAAAATGTCTTGAAAATAATATTTTCTTTGAGGAAGCGCACCAAAAAGCCAACAATAATTTTAATAAAAGTTAGAATATAGATCAGTGCATAGTAGTAAATTATATTGAGTAATTTCAGTGGTCTCAGCGTCTGCTGTAACTTGAAAGCATATCGTATAACAGAACCATGGTACTGAAAAGGTTTGATTTGATAAAGTTGACTTTACTCAGTTGGCAATGACCAGTTGATTAATCTTTTAAATACAGTGCTGCGAGCGCCGACTGAAACTTGCCAGCTCAGGCAGCAATGAGAGTCTAGAACAGCTCAAAGCAGCAGAGGACCGGATTAAAGAGCTGGAAGAAATTCTTAAATGCAAGGAAAACTCAATTATGGATTTGCAGGTAACTGTTACATTTATCTGTTGTTCAAGTAAAACAAAAATATTGATGTGATCTGGTAACAATTTTCCCTCATTGGGGATTCATTACCATTTTGCGGTCCATGGTCGAATTGGGGGTTTATTACTGTTTTGGGGTCCATGGTATCATTTGGTGTTCATTACCCTTTTGGGTTCATGGTCTAATTTGGAGATTAATAGCCCTATTGGGCTTCACTGCCTTATTGGGGTTTATTGTCTAATTGGGGGTTCATTTCCCTATATAGGATTTTGTAGATATCTGAAATAAATGCACTATTTGGCCACTTCATCTTATTATTTTCACATAGCACATTTTAATGACATTTTTTTTTTATAGAGTAGTTGGTTTACTGTTCATAGGTCTTTTCCACTACCTTGATTTGTAGAAATTACATTATAAAATATGTATAAACTCAAATGAAAATTCAAAATCATTATTTTTCGTCTCTTATTTAAATTTCTCATGAAATGATGCCCTATTACCATTGATGAAATTGCTAAAAGAAAAAGAAGTAATTTAAACATCTTGTTTCCAACCATGTGTAAATGTTCACAGAATCAAGTTGTGAAATTGCAAAAAGATATGAGATGTTTACAAAACAAATTAGAGAAAAAAGCAGAATGTCTTACTCAACAAGTCTACGAATATCAGAAGCAAACAGATCAGGTAAAAATATTATTTAGGTTATTAATTTGGTCTGTGTTTTTTGATTAGTTTTTAAGGATTTATTTTATAATTAACTTTGCTTCATGGTTCCCATTCTTTGTCACTTAATAAATAATATCACTTTACAAAATTTGACTTAATAGATAATATCCTTTGAACAAGATTTGACTTAATTGATATCATTTGAGCTAGATTGTCTTAATAGATGATATCATTTGATTAATATTTGACCCGACTTATAGATGATATTTGAATAAGGTTCAACTAGATGATATCATTTGATTAAGATTTGACTTAACTTAAAAGATAACATTTGAAGAAGATTTAAATCAAAGAATTATCAAGTGTTGTTTTTTATTTCTAAGCTGTCATCTGACAATGATTCACTACGCCAGAAACTAGCTGTCTGCACCAAAGCTTCTGAAGAGTGCAAGCGTTGTCTCCGTGCCCGTGAAGACCAAATAAGATGTCTAGATCTTCAGATTGATGAGCTCAAAGAAGTTAGCAATTTTAGTGTTACGTTGCAAATATAACTCACAATATCAGTATAAATTATCAGTCTTATCATGTTAATTGTAGATAAGTGAATGACAAGATAGTGAAAAGTTGACAAAAATGGACAGATTAAATTAAAAGTATTCCTAACATCTGATCTTAAAGTTGAATTGTTCACTCATTAATTAATTTAATGGGTAAATTTTTTTTTACAACCTCAGAATTAAGAAAATGAGGCAGTCCTTTAATCTAGCTGGGTTTTCAAGTTTGATTATAAAGAAACGTTTTAAACTGAATAATATTTAAATTCTGCTGAATTCTGGGCAAAAAGCACAGAAGGCTCTCATATCAAAGTATTCTTGAAAGGCCGAGTTAATTTATTTCACCACAAGGACTTACTATTTTATATACAGCCATGCCCATTTTAGAATTCAATTGTTTAGGATGATTTATCAAAACTTTTAAATTATTTTTATAATAAACTAAAAGCAACATTTATAATCCATTAGAAATAGGGAATAGGTTCAAATCAATTCTGCTCTGGGCAACAGCAAGAAGGGGTTATAATATAGAGTGGTTAAATAGTTAATAAAGATTGAAATTAACCTGATATTTCTCTCTTAATCAGACTATTGAAGAGAAAGACAAGTTACACTGCAAAGTGCTAGAATCATATCAGCAAAAGATCTGCAAATCCAATGAACAAATTAAAAACCTTGAATGTGCTCTGATGATGTGCAAGAATGAGGTCCAAATGCACCTAGAGACCATGGAAAAGATAAAAAATCACTTTGAAGTTGAATTAAACAACAGAGATGGTTGTGTAAGTTGAATATTCTTTTTTGCTTTTTTCCCCACTTAAAGTTAATACTCCATGGCTAAGCATACTTGGCTCTGGAGTTTTTTGATAGGATTACTATTTTTAATATGGACTTCCATATCTTTGTTAGACCATGAATAGTAAACCCCTGTAACTTGCCTTAAACAAACCATTTTGTCTTTTGTTTCAATGGTGCTGACATATTAGAGATGATTCTGGAATATTTATACTTTAATTTGTTGTTACTTAATATTTGCTTCCAGATCAAACATTTAAAAGAAGAATTAAGAAAAACCACAGAAGATCTTAAGTGTCGAACTGAAGAAAACTGCAACTTGGAACAGACTTTGGCTGATGTCAATGCTAAATTAGCAAATTCTTATAATCAGTTAAAGAACTGTGATCAGAATATTTGCTGTTTGACAGAAAAGGTAAAAATATTTATAATAATTTAAAAAAAACAACTAAATCACAAATAATTTAAATAATTCATATTTCATCACCTAACACATTAATTTTATCCTTTGGGTAAAAAGAAGTGAAAAGATGTACAATTGTAAACTTGTTTCCAAACAGGAATTTCTTTGGTGAAAATAATGAATCCATTATATTATTTTTTAATTACAAGTGCATTTTAAATTTATTTAACCGTGTACTTGTTTTCTTGAACTATTTCTAGTTTAACTGGTCTATGAAATTTTTATTTCTAGTTTATCTTATAGCGAAATGCATATGTATATTTCGAGATTAATTGGAAGGCCCAACTTCCAACTTTTTAAAAATCCAGCCCCCTAGCCCACTCTTATAAGGGTCTCAAGTAAAAGGCATAATTTTTATTCATTTTCTCCTCAAATTTTTGCAAAAGGTGGCTCGACATAGCTTTCAGTTTTCTTTAATCTAATACAGGTATTGATTATTTTAACTGAGAATGTATCAAAGTGACTATGTGTCTTGAAAAAAATAAAAATAATTTTAAACAAATATAACAATCAAATTTTGCTGAAAAACTTAACTTCAAAATTGCTGACTGTTGTTCTTCAGTAAAAACCACAATGAAAGTATTGAGATAAGGGTCTCTTCAGATGAGACACTAATCAATATTTTATGCATGAATTTTTTTAAACAAAATATTTTATAAGCCCCTTTCTTGATAAATAAATTATTGGAAAATTAGAAATTAAAAATAGCTATAGAAAATTTTCACAACGGGTTATCTAATTTTCAGTGCTTTCCTTTTCATTTTAATTTCATACAGTTGAAAAACACAGAAAATCAGATGTTGAAGGATAAAGCCTGTTACATGAAGGAAACTGAAGAATTAGAACGCAGATTGTCTCAAGCACTGAACAATCTGCAATGTACTCATGAGGAAATTAACAAATTAAAGAGTTGTTTGTCGTAAGTCAAAGGATTTGATACAACGAAAAAAAAATATTTGTGAAGTACTTAAGTCACATCTTTGTCTGGACCCAAACAGTTGCTGCCACTGATCTGGTTAAGCTAAGACTACTGAATAAATTGACAAAAAATTATTATATATGAAGCATTAAAAATATTCTCTAAATTTACAATTTGACTCTTTAAAGTGGATATTTTCAAAGACGATAATTTTTACTTAAGTACCTCAGACTTCAACTAAGGTCTTCATTTTCTAAATATCTGATTTTTACCAATAATATTGGCTGAGTAAGTTTTTCATTTTTTTATCATCTTTGTACCCATGATATCTTCTCTCTCATGTGGTTATGTGATTCTTTATCAATCATCACCACTTTTCTCTTAGAGAGAAATCTGCCATGGTGGATTGCCTTCAAGGAGAGAAAAACAGCTTATTGAGAGATCTTACCAAATGCAAAGAAGTGGCGTGCTGTTTGCAAGACAAACTTGTGAAAATGGAGAAAGACAATCAAGAACTTTGTCGTCAGTTACAACAAAAAATGGACTGCAGTGAGTGGTATTTTATTTACGTTAAAAAAAAGTGGTGTTGTTGATGCATCTCATAAGTGTCAAGGTCATGAAAACTTGTGAAAAATAGTTTTATAACTATGTAAATGGGCAGCCATGTGATGATGTTATCTAAGAAAGAACAGAGATATTCTCACCCTCTTGGTTAACATGCACATTTTGCACATTCTTCTTACGCTCGCAGTCCACATCCACTATCAGATGATTGTTATTACAATATTATGTTTGAACCAAAATATTTAAGTGTTTGCCATTGTGTAATAGACTTGTTATCTATATGAGTTCCGGATATAAATAAAGATTATATATAAAATATATAACCTATACAAATAATCACATCTGGAGGAATTTTGACATTAAGGCCATGGTTTTGGAATCTCTTTTTGATAATTCATGAACAGAGCAGCTGAACAAACTTCATGTCTTAAGAAGATTGGTGGTTGATTTTGATGTAATTAAATGAGTGCCACAATTCCTATTCATTAGTAGTAATTGCTTTCCATTTATACATACTTGAGATGTAACTAAATGAGTGCTACAATTCCTATTCATTAGTAGTAATTGCTTTCCATTTATACATACTTGAGATGCAACTAAATGAGTGCTACAATTCCTATTCATTAGTAGTAATTGCTTTCCATTTATACATACTTGAGATGCAACTAAATGAGTGCTACAATTCCTATTCACTAGTAGTAATTGCTTTCGATGTATTAATCCTGGAGAAAACAAATTCTGATCACGATAACTTCAGTAAAATTCATTGTATATAGAAAAAAAATTGTAACAAGAGAAGAATTCCTATGAAAAATCCATCTTCAATAGCAATGGATATAAGTTCTAAATTTATTATTGATGTGTCAAAGAAATAATATATCATTATTGTTTGTTAAAGAACTTCCAATTTGTATTCTAACCAGTTCGAGATATGGAAAATATCCTATGTGGAAAAGATCAAGAAATGAAATGTTGTCAAAGGTTTATTGAAGAGTTACAGGAAAAACTGAAATGTTTACAAGAGGTCAGTACCCCTTAAATTGTTCAGAGATAGTAATTTTTAATCATTCTACTATCTGCTCCTAATGAATACAATTGAGTCTGAACAAAATTGTGACACCAAAATAGAACATCTTAGATTAGCTTTGGTAGATGAAAACATATAAATATAATGAGGACTATTAATGTAATGTTTATATCATTTTAATTTGTGTGTTTTATTTAAACATGTTCTTTTTACACACTGATAGATTGATATTTTTTTGTGTATACTCCACAGGAAGTAGTAAGTGTATTTGTGGTGTCTTATAAGAGGAAATGAATTATGGTATTTCACACTTAATTGTATTGTAATGACACCTATAGTGAGTGGAGGTTCCTTTTTTGTTAGCAAAAGGATTGGTACGTCTTTGCTTGTCATGAGGTATGGTTTTAAACTATGGGAAGATTTCATTAATTAAGAGCATTTTTTTTTACCATTTTAACTCTTCTGGCTAGTTGTATCTGTATTAAATCCATGTCATTTTAAAAATCATTTGGCTAGTTTAGAGGAAAAACCCTACTGATCTAAAAGTTTACCACTTATGTCTTTGTATAATTTTGCCACAGAATTCTAGCTCTGGTGCATCTGCATCTCTACAAGACAAAATTAAGAGTTGCAGAGAAGAACTGCTCTGTCAATCCAAGATGTTGTGTGAGTGTGAGGAAGCTTTGAAGTAAGTTGGCAGATTTGTTAATCATATACTTAAAAATATTTAGGTTCTAGGAAGTACTTGCTTTGGGTGGGCTGACTTTGATGGGAACTGGCTGTATGTCAAGCAGACTGTCTGGCCAAGGATGTGAGAACGGTCATAGGCAGAGAATGTAAAGCACCGCTTGGAAACCCACATGCTTGCAATGCCACACCCCCATTTCCCAATACTGCCACCTCCAGACCAGACGGGAAACAAAATGATAGTTTTTGTATGACAGTTAAGGGGATACTTTGTTATGCAAACTGATTGGTTTAAGAGATTTTTTTTTCCATTAAAAATTTTAAAAAATGTTTTGCAGAACTAGAGATGAATGTGTTCAATTAGAATTTAAAATGATATAAATAAATTGTTATGGGGAAAAAGGAAAGGCGTTCATATTGTATAATAGTTTCATTGAAATTTTACATTCCAGACGTTGTCAGATGGAATTGAGAGACAAATGTGAAGAAATAAGGATGCAAAACTGCACATTGGAAGAACTGAATTGCAAACTGCATGAACGTATTGCAAGGGTATGGCTTATTGTAATATTTTATGTTCATTAAAAATGTTTGGACCCAAAAATGAGTAGTATGCATATGGCATAAACGAGAAATGAAATCTGAAGATAGATAGAAGGGGAAATTTTGTTTCAACCGACTACCTTTAGCTCCTTCCATTAAACATAAGTCATATTTTAACTAAAGTCAATAGGACTTATTTACCTGAATTGAAAATTAATTGTTATGTTATAAATTATTATCATTGAGTTCAATTTTTCTTTATTTACTTTGATTTTCATACAGGTGGATGAGCTTGAAAAAGCCATTGAGAATTTGAACAAAGATATAGAGAAGAGGATGAAGAGAGTAGATGAGCAGTTGAAGAAATATGAGTGTGAGCTATGTGACAAGTCAAAACAGGTCAGTCATTACCGCTTATATTCATAAAGAGAGGAAGACAGTCTATACAGCTAATACTAAAAGAGAAAGTATTATTAAAGTAATATCATATTAAAAAAAATTTTATATTATAATTTATCATCTCAAGGTTGGCATCCTGTTTAAGTATTGTTTATCAGGATAACAATGTTATTTTACATGCACGTTTCACCTTACTATTTCTTAAAATAAATGGATGGTTAAGGCACAAATATTATTGTAATGAAGAATGTACATTTATCCGTGGTTTTAAGCTATTTTCAAACTTTTTAAAAAGAAATGTGTAGAAAATAAGGCACATGTCATCAATATAGGATAGGCTTAGAAATTAGGCACAATGCACCAAATAGATTAGGTGTAGAAAATAAGGTATATGGTAACAAAATAGGATATATGTAGAAAATAAGGTGAAGTACACTAAAATACAAAATAAATTATAATTTTATATTGTAAATATAAATAGATTTCTTTTGTCTGAGGGTTGGATTATAACCAAAATATTTATCTCTAGGTGGGTTTTCAGCTACTTCCAGAAAGACACTTGGGTCTTTTTATGTCACTATTTAAATGGACCCAAATATTTCTCATGTCTGTTTATGCCTCAGAGGGTATTTTTATGTCATTCTAACTAAATAGACCCAAATATTTTATGTCTTTTTATGCCTCAGATCGCAGATCTGGATGACTGTCTCACTCGCTGCCAACACAATCTCAATGAAAAAGCCAATGAGGCCTGTGTCCTGGAACAGAAAAACACCAGGTTGATATCAGATTGGAATGCTTGTCAGTTGAAACTAAAGGAATGTGAAGAGGTACATTTTTTTACTATGCCATCTGTCTTAATAATAAAGTTGTGTTATATTTTAATTAGAGCTGAAGGGCCTTGGGGTCAGATTGTTTAATTGTAGAAATGGTTTCTTGAAGGGAATCCCCTTTCATTTTTATTATATAACAAACTTCCTGTGAAATCCTCCCATCCTGGGAAATCCCAAGTTCATACTTTTAGAAAAACATTTCCTTTTTTTTTTCCATCAGCAATTTACAGATTGTCACAGTTATAAGCCAAACCTGTAAAAATCTAGATAAATGCTCTGAATTCTTTAGTATAGTAGCTCTATTACACAGGTTCTCAAGTGTTTTTAAGTCAAGACCACACTTATAAAGTGACCCATGCATGGGATGTATTAAAAAAAATTATGTTGAAAATTATAATTTAAACTTTTAGTCACCAATTAAAACATAAAACAGTTAAAAATCGCTATTTCTCATAGTCAATTGTTTCAGCCCTTGACATCACAGATAGTCCTTTGTAAAGCCATTTGAGGTCACATCCTTATGCTCTAGTAACTTGATCATACCAGGCTGTTAATGTACCTAGCTACCTTTATGATTTAATATACATGTATTAGCATTGTTTATTATTTTAAAAAAAATTGAAAATAAACTTCTTGTTACAAAAAAATTGCTCATAAAATTTTGTGAAGGATTAGAAACCCAAATATTCAACCTGGAAACTATGCAAATCTTAAATAAACGGTCAAGATTTTTTCCCCTTAAGCTTAGCAAGCTTAACGTTAGTAGTTCTTTAATACAAGGGTTCAGCAGGAAAATGAAGCAAATAGTAGCAAGTAAAATCCTGGAGTGAGATTCACTTTTATCTTGTTTTCCCCGCGATGAACAGAACTGCAGGAAATAAGAAACCCTAGTTTTGGACTATTAACCGTTACCAAAATACAGATCATATTTGATAGGAATAGAATTTCATTTCGATAAAATTGAACATTGCTTTTTTGTTATTGAACTTGTTGTCTCATGCTTGTTATTACAATAAATATATGTTCGCTTCCACAATAACTTGAATTATTCCCATTTTATTGGGCACCCAATATGTCATCCAAGGTAAAGTAGGGCAAGATCATTCTTATTTATGCTGGAAATGAAAGTGTGCCATGTAAATAGTGTAGTAATGAAATGTTTGACAATTCTGAATTAGTTGCTGGGTTTCAATTACTGTAATACTTACAGGAGCATATCTCCATTTATCTTCAATAGTACTTGTAATGTTGCTATCCTTTCAGACCAGAGAGTGTTTGGGCAAAGCATTGAGCGAGCAAAGGGCAGAAAATGCTGAACTTTCTCAAGAAATTAGAGTTACCAGGTAAGTTTATGTTAAATACATTTATTGCGTCAAATGTCAATGTTTCATGACATGAGCGGTGTTTATTGGTGAGGAGTTCATTAGTAGCATGCATAGTGGGAGATTGTCTAAAATTGTACATTTGCAATTGGGGGTATGAAAATATGACTTTTTTTGGTTTATATAATTAATTAATTTTTGAATAGTCTGATGGAGATAAGCGTGCTATCTCTTTGGAATCATACCCCTTAGATTTTTTAATGTTTTTAATGTTTAATCTTGCTTTTAGTTTAATTCCCTCTACTTGTGTCTTTTGTCTTAAAAATGTGAACTGAAGGCCAGAGTGACTTGGGGCAACAGTCTGGCCAGAAGTGGAATTCAACTATTGATAAAAATGCAATTAAGGTGTAAATAATATCGAATCACATGTTTTAGAGAGTTCTGTCAACATTTTTGATAGAACTTTAGCTTTAAATGACAACAGTTTATCCATCTCTGCCTATTATAAGCTAGCATTCAACCATAGCTGCCCACTCCATTTCTTTTACACTTAAAATCTTGAAAAGGCTTTCCCATTTCCGCAACTTCTTTGTTACCCAAGCTGATGCACCCCTTAAAGGTGACAATGATGACAGACAAAAAATTATCACTTGTCATCCCCTTATGGGAACATCCTTAAATGTCACTGTATTTTGGCAGATTTTTTTATCTCCCTCCCCACATCATGACATCTTTGTCACAAAATTTATAAATTCTCAGAACACCTGACTATGAATTCATGACCTCCCCCCCCCACTTTTATGTTGTTGTTGTTTTTTTTGTTTACTATTGTGACGTCATTAATGGATGGTTCTTAATCTAACCACCAAGTAGATGTTTTTATAAAATTGAGCTTTCTTCTTACTGACTTAAAACACATTTCTCACCCCACCCTTTTTTTCTCATTATCTTTAGACAGACAAATATGTATTAAATAATTTTTAAAACTTTATATTTCCTTTTACTTGTCATTTTTTTGGTCCTGTGCTGAAGAAATCTTTTGCTTGATGTTGTTTTGTGGTATTTAAAAAATTTTTTTTTCTCTAATCTGCATGTTCCTTATTTCCTGATTAAAATAAGACATTTTCCATCTAATTCTGTGCTTTAAATAGTTTTAGTGTTGGGTGACTGGCTGGCCAAATGGTCAAAACTGAGCAAACCTCAAGTTGGTGGTCTGGTGTTCAAGTCCAGCCAAAGGCCAGTCAAGCAGAAACATCACCCCGGGTGGATGAGACTCGTTAACCTTGGTCGGCAACTCATCTAAGAGAAGGAAACTCTGAATTCAAACCCGGAGTTGGAGTCCCGTAAGGCGCAAACAATGACAATTCCTGCAACCGAACCCATCCCTGGTCGTCTTGACGTAGAGTCTTGCCACTGGATATGGTGGGCTCGGACGAGAGAGTGAGGTAGACGCCGCGCAACTCTTCTTCACTTTAAAACAGTCATCCGCGCAAGTCATCAGTCACCAGACGACGCGATGGTCCTCGTCGATCTTCAACGAACGAACAATAAATAAGTGTTAAGCACTAGTTTCATTCTTTCCTCTTTTGATTTACAGAGAACATCTGCAACAAAAACATCAGGAATTGGTGGACACCCAACAAAGTCTTTGTGCTTGCAACAGAGAATGTGACAGGGCCAGAAGAGAATGCGATGATCTTAGAAACTGTCTTTCGGTCAGATTACATTTCTTGCTTTTGTCATTTTTCAAAATACTTTAATAGCTTTTTAAAGTTAGGCTGTGTCGCAACAGTTATTGATGATGACTTTTTTAGTGGGAGTAACATTTATGGTTTATTTTGTTCTTGACTAATCGAAATAGATTCTTCCCCTTTCAATTGTAAGATTAAAAAAATATATTTGTTTCATTGTCCCAATAGACTTATTATTTAGAAGTAAAAAAAGGATAAAATTGGTCAAAAAATAATTTAATAGAAAAAGTAATGTTACTAATCTCAAGTGATTTTGCCATTTTGAATACCTAATATATATTGTCTCCTTAAGTGCTGTGAATGTACAATTCCAAAATGTCCACTTGACAGCTCTGTGTATTTCCTCTTGTGAACATTTAGCAAAGGGAATGTGAGATTCAACATCTTTCAGAGGAGAAGAATTGCTTAGTAAGTAAAGTGGCACATTTGACATGTCGACTGGAAAATGAAACCTGCCAGCTACAGAATCAAATGGCAGAAATGAAATGCAGGCTAGAAAAAGAGGTTGGTATGAAATTTGTTTATTGCCAAATTGTCCTAAAGGCTAAATCCTATATTTTAGATGTAGAACGATTCTACTGCCAGATGAGACAAAGCTTCTTCTTTACTTACCTAGGGCAGATCTCAGCATCATTTTTTCATGCGTGGCTTACCCTAGACCTTTCCAAGAACTCCCCGCCACACCACAAATGGAACATGCAAAAATATACTAAATCTCATAATATAGTTAACATTCATAATGGTGTGAAATGCTACTAGGTATAAGATTTCACTGTATTGCTCCATATTAATTATAGGACACATTTCTGTTATTGCAATGTTTGACAGCTTGTTAAAAGGCTCACCAATGTCCCTTTTGTAGCAACAGGTGTTTTATCATTTCAATGTGATTGCATATATTATTTTCCTCTTCATAGACTCATTTAGCGCAGTACACCTGGCGTGGTGTGTGCCATGGCACACCGGTTGCGGAACTCTGCTATAGGGTTAGAGAAGGCTCCGATTTTAGTAAATTGGAAATAGCAGTTGGATAAAATATTTAAACATTTTCTTTCTTAAGAAATAAACTGTCAGTCTCTAAATATGATATTGTTCATTACATTCAATATGATACTGTTCTTGTCTTTGAATCTGGTACTGCTCATGAATTTGAATATGATACTGTTCATGACATTGAACATGATACTGTTCATATACTTAAATATGATATTGTTCATTGCATTCAATATGATACTGTTCTTGTCTTTGAATCTGGTACTGCTCATGAATTTGAATATGATACTGTTCATGACATTGAACATGATACTGTTCATATACTTAAATATGATACTGTTCATGACTTTGAATGTGATACTTTTAATTTCTTTTAGTTTCCTGGTTGCACAGAAACTATAGAAACCTATTAAATTTAATAATAAAGATAAAAAATGCATGGATATGTAAATTTGTTTAACTTAAATGATTCTGCATTTTTTGCTTTAAAAAATAGTGTAAAATTTACCCTGTGTAAAATAAAGATAAAATGTATATATGTACATTACTTTTCAATTTTACATGACAGATATACAATTAATTATGAAACAGAAAATGTTAATTTTTTTGAAAGCTTCGTCAGTGATACAGTTTTACTACAAATGATAAATTTAAATCACAATTGTATTCAACATATTCAGTGCAAATTTGTCTTTAATTCCTTCTCTATAAAGTTAAAGAAGAGGAATATAATTTTTTTGTTAAATTTAAATAAGTTAACAAACTAAATTGTTTCCAATCTTTTAGAATGAATCACTGCGCATTTATCAATGTGAAATTGAAGAAAACAATGCATGTCTCTTGCAAAAACTGGCAGCATGTCAGCGACAGCTTTCACAGGTTGAGAAATGTTGCCATCAGAAGCTTGATTGCATGAACAGAGAACTGGAGGACCTTAATAGCAAGTTGGCAGATCGAGAAGATCAGATTGCCCAGTGCAAGGAATGCCTCAATCTTAAGGTAGATGCAGTCTTAGGCTTTGTGCATACATTTATAGTATCTTTCAAATTGTATACCGTAATGTAATAAAGCAGTCTGAACAAATTGTTCAGATTTAAATTAAGCAAATAAATATTTACTTATTTACAATGATATGGAAAAGGTAAAGTGTGTGTATATATAGTACCACTTTTTGTGTGTATATATTGTACTACCTCATATTTTTATAAAGTTTAGATTCAAGATGGGGCAAATTTAACCAAATATTGATTGTTTTGTTCAGGAAAATGAAATTATGCGCTTAAAGTTAAGGCTATGCAGTACCGACCGATGTGGTGAAAACTGCTCAAGCAACAACCGCTGTTCAAACAACAGTAACGTTCCTGATCATGAGTACAGCGACCTTGATAATTACAGGCAGGACAATATAGACAATCCGGTACCCCTCATCATAGCTCAGTTGCCTCCTACTGGAAAATGTGAAGTGAGCATACAGTAAGTTGGATCAATTATTGGAATAATTTCTACCCATAATATGCTCGCACCAACTATTAAAATAATTATGTTTGCTGTCAACTTGTTATCTTAACATGAAAATCTTTGCCTACTGATTTTTTCTATGTTGGAACTGATTTAAATTAGTCCATGAACAAATTATAGTCCTAACAGAAGATAATCAATCAAAATTACCAGTGGGATAGCCTTGCCTTGGATAGCAGTGGAAAAGAAATGAAAAGATATTTAAAAAAAACAAACAAAAACAAATAAATGAAGTATGTTAGTTATATCAGTCATGAAATTAGAGTGCTTACAAAAATTTCACACTTTACAAAATAATAATAGACATTCCTCAAGTAAGTTTATCAAATGAATGATGCATATATAATCCTCCATAATTCTTATAGTCATTCTAACAGATAGAATAGTTTGTGCTGAATTAATAACTTATAAGTGCTCAAAACAACCAAAGATTATCCAGATCTTACAAAAGCAAACTAGACATCTTATGTTGATGCAAATTTAATCATCTCTAAAATTCTTTTAAATAGAAGTTAAAAATCTCATTACTATTAGTGAATAATTTTTCAAAATGTTAATTAATTAAAAAACAAAAAAACAACAACTGTAAATCATTAGCCATTGGTAAATAGATGATGTTATTTAATTTCAACTCCCCAGGAGATGGAAGATGGATGGTGACAGAGAATCTATAGCGTCTGAATCCCTCAACATTGAATCACAGGAAGAAAATTCATATGGTTAGCTTAATTCTGTAACTTCTTGTATTTGATAAGTGCTCTAGTAGTGGTCGCACAGTTACAGCCAGGATAAATAGGATTCCACCAGGGGGGGCTGAAGGAATTAAAGGGAAATGAAATCCCGGTTATATTAATAATTAAAGTTTTAAGTAAGGAACTTGAACTTGAAGTATAATAGCGATGCCACTTTGGCACACCCTTTTGTTATTTTATATTTAGAAGCCAAAATATATATAAAATGAAGTTAAAATCTCAACATTATGCAGGATAAATTAGTGAGTCATTCTGGTCATCCATGAAAAAATTTAGCTTTTTAATATTTCCTTTTTAAAACAATTTTTGTTTTCATTGAATTGGTTGATATTTTCAATTTCTCGAGTATTTTAAAGTCTTTTTGTTTCATTCAATACAATTATCATAGTGGTTCAATTTAATATGATTTTTGGTGTCCAATATTGTTTTCTAGTACAGTGCAATTTTAGATGAAACCCCTATTCTATGTAAACACATTTTGAAAGGTCGGAGTGGTTTAAACTAGATGTGAACTGCCTGTTCAATTAAAATAAAAAAATAAAAAATGAGGTAAATAGTTGAAAGAACCCCCCCCCCCCCCCTTTTCTAATTTGCATAAACCATTTTAGGTGATTAGGTAAGGTGTGGGCAAGTACTGCCGTAAACCATTTTAAACATTTTATCCTGGGTACCTGCCTTTTATTTCACTAGTGCAGCTGTTTGGTTCAGGCGAATGTAATATTTATGTCTTATATTACATCACATGCACAGAAAGGTAGTACAATGACTACAGTAAGCCACTAGGCTAAAAATTACTTTTGCGAATCTAGCCAGTTATTTGAGAAAACATAGAGCAACAGTATGACTATAATTATGAGAAATTATCTGAAATATATAGACTGTCTAAATTTTATGATAATTATTGCAGACTTTGTGAATAAATGTACACACTTTCTGTGGAGACCCCTGTCATAAGCCCCTGTACACAAAATCTTCAAAATCAACACACACACACACACCCTCCCCCCTCAATGATAGGTAATATATGGATGGCCCATTAGATAAAAAAAAAAAAGTTAAGTACATTTTTTCTTTGACATTTCTTGTTTTGATTTAATTATAGATACTGAAGTACAACCTGAAAACCTTAGTGGTAATGACTCTTCAAGCCAGCGAAACAGCTTAGGGTAGGTCCACTTTCATTATGTCCAAAGATAAACTTCAGCCGTTTTCTAAATGAGACTCTTTTTTTAAAAGTTTTTATCTCGGTACCGCAAGGAATGAGGGTCTATCAAAATAACCATTCTTCTTTTAATTAAAGTTGCCACCAAAGAAAAATTAAAACAATATTTAGCATTTTTAAACATTCATTTTTTAAAATTAATGACTTGTTTTCAGTGGACCTCATTTTTCTAAGTCTTATTTTTATAGTAAAAAAATAATCTGTTATAAACACTGGTTACGTGTTGGTTCAACTGTGGTCATATTGATGACTTGTTGGTTCAAACGTGGTGGCCCGCTGGTTCATCTGTGGTCTAAGTAAAGTATGCAGCATAATTGTATACTATGTCTGGAAAATAGGATAGCACCTTTGCATAAATAAGCTTTAAGGGCTTTTAAAAAAATTCTAAGTTTTGAATGCTTTTCAGAGTATCCGAAGTTCAAGAACAGCTCCGATCAAATCAGATGCGTCAAAAAGCAATAGATAGGCAGCTCAAATCCTTGACAGAAGAATCAAGAGAAAATGCCCTAGTCAGCAACATCTATGAAGTTGGAGTGCAGTATTAGCTGAAATTTTGCTCATCAGAGCTACAAAACCATCATTCATCAATGTGACTCATAAATAAGAAAAAGAATTCCAAAACATCTAGTTAATTTAAACTACTTTCTTAACCTTCTCATTGGGGTCATACACACATAAAAGCAAACGACTTGAAAAAAAAAAACCCAGTTACAAAGTATAAGACAGCCAATGCATAAACATCTCTGTTATGTAATCAATTTTAGCCATCTGTGATTTAGAAGGAAATAAAACATTTTTTTATATTAGATCAGGCATACTGAATATGTTCTTCTTAAATTTAAACATTTACAGTCTACAATAATACATTTGATTACAAAATTGTTTATAAAATTTTTTTAGGTGGTTGCAGAATAAATGTTATACACTTTCTCCTGAAATCTTTCTCTTTTTTTTTCATGATGTTAAAATTCTGCAGGGAATATATTTTTTTTATCCAAGTTATGGGAAAACAATGTTTTATTTTGGAATCATTTATTAGATAAGGCATTTTTATCTTTCAGTCACTCTGGAAGTAAGAGCTGATGGAGGGAGTCATTATAGTTTTTTTGAGGACCATCATGTACAATTCAGTTATTCATATTCTAAGGGCAAATTAAATAGGTTACATCTGATGCAAACTTTAAACATATTGCAAGGGCCTTAATTTATTCAAAGATAAACACCAATCGGCTTCCTAGAAACAATTTCTGCTTAAAGAGCCACCCAGTGGCATGTAGACCTTTAGATTGCCAAAATCTATTGTCAGAATCTAGGGCATAGCTGGTGTCTGCAACCAGCAGCATTTCAATGTGTTGAGCATCACTTGCTTATTTAGTTTTGTTAAATTGATATTGGGCAAGTGGACAGTGTTGTATACAGTCCTTGACTCCTCCCTTATATCGCCCAGGATCTGGGTAAACTCCACGCTAGATGCTTCTTCAGCTCCCCGATCCAAAGTCAGTACCAATCGTATTCATTTTTTGTGATGTGGACATGTTGAGCAATCATTGAAAGACTTGTCTAGAAGACCATTACAGTACGACTTGAGACTAGTCATAATTTTTAACACCACATGGGCTTGCACCCCGATTTGGTGAAAGATACGGGACTTTTTTCTTTTTTTTTTTTTAATTGGTAGCCTTACAAGTCTATACAGTTTTACATTATCATTTACATGTTGAGCTGAGATCAATTTGATAACTCCATTTACCATAATTTTTTAGCAATCAAACTTTTAATGAGGTTGCAAAGAATGAATTTTTAATGGGGTTTATTTTTCTTAAGATGCTTGTGACTCGTAGCAGATGTCTCAACAAAAATAAAACTACAGTTTGAACTAAACTCGTCTAACTTCTGCTATTTCACTTCTACGTTTAACCTCTTTTTATACCAATTTTACAATTTGGATGACCTGTAATTTTTTTTTTTTAAAACTTCCATTTGAATTCTTTGTGTTAAGTTTTGTCATTATTTTCATTGTGCCTGTGCCCCACGATCATATACTTCTAATACTCTCAGTAGTCAAGGCTTGTAAATGTCTCATGGCAATCATAAATAATTAAAAAAAATAAGCAGTCTCAATGATTTTCTATCAATAAAACTTGATTATTGATAAAAAAATAGACATTAACAATATTGTTGATAGTGATGAAAATGTTTCGCACTGTTTAGAAGCAATTCTTAGGAGTCCTCTAAAGAAAAGCAGGATTGCGCCTCACAGTATTTGTATTCTGTATGTTATTTATTAGGTTCACACTCAGTGAACTGCTTCTGTAATTTGAGCTAAATCTGGCAACATTTTTAAAAGCATTCATACTGAGCTACACATCTTTGGTCCATTTTACACATAATATCCGTCCAATATTTATTTGGCTATTGATATTGTCATTTTTCAAAACATGGCTAAATAAAAAATCCCAATAGGCAGTTACAATGAGTGAATTTGACCCAAAAAGTTATAAATATGTAAATACATTAAACAAATTTCTTTTTCCTATCTATGCGGCCACTATAATATTGTCCAAGCGTGTCTTGGTTATTTAAGGTAGATTGATACCAAAATGTTTAAAAACCGGAGACAAAAAAAAATGGGTTTGGTACTACTGTAAAACTGTTCAATGTTAAGCTTTTACTTTTGAGCAGAGCAGATTTGATGTCTATGCTTATAATCTGAATAAAGATTCCTTATTTGCAGCAAACTTTAACCTACTGTGATAATACTTCCATTCCATTTTATGCCACAACCTTTTTTTGTCTTTTGATGATTCTACTACAAAATGAGACACTACTACCTGTTTCTTTTCACCAAATTGTTTTATTTTGAGGTTCTCTTTTAAATAATTAATCTCAATCCATCAAATTATGTGAAAATTAATGGTATACAATTTTCTGGATCTTATTTTATGTTAGCATATGTTAAGATAAAACCTTATAATAGCGTTAAGATTTTGTATTTTATTTTTTGGGTGCCACAATGTCTCATTTTGGGTATAGGATTATTTCTATGAATTTCTGCAAAATTGTTAACACATTCCTCCACCTTATTTCATTATTGCTTGTTTAGTTTTTATCCCGTTCAAACTTTTATCTGACCTCTGTTCAAACTTTTATCTGACCTCTGTTACTGAAACACATTTTGTTGATTTCATATTCTCATTGTTGGATCGAATTTTTGTTGTTGTTAGTTTTTAATACTTTGAAGAGAATTTCTTAAAATAAACATTGTGAACCCAGCAAAAAAGTACTTGAAAGATACAAATTATTGGATTTGTAATGTTTAAGTAGCGAGGGAAATTGGTGAACTTATAATTGTTGACTGGATGTGTATCACAATCAAATAATAAATAAACATGAAGGACCAAAGCATTTAACTATAAAATAGTATTTACGCTCCACTTCCAATAATAAATAGTTAAGAATTAAAATAAAACTACAATTTTTATTTTAATATGTAATTGTTTGGAAAAGGTAAAAGTAAATTACAATGTTACATGATTTCATATGCATGTTAAAAAAAAAATGAAATTACTAAAATGAACAAATCTCACTATTTAAAAATCAAAAAAGGAAAATATTCAAATGAGAGAATGAACAACTAGTATTAACAACTTGATTACTAAGCAATAAATTCACGCACATTTGGATACTAATAACTAAATGTTCATAACAAGCCTAGAAATATAAACATTAAATAAATTGAAATCTGAAGTTACACATAATACTAAACATGTAAAGATCATATTTTCATTTCAGCAGAGAGGATCTACAAATAGCGAGATGCTTACATAAGGACACTATTGCAATTTCAATAAGGGACGTTCAGAAAGGAAAGGACATCTCACAAGAGTGGGGAGTACTTCCTACAAAAGCGGAAAAGGGGGGGGTGGGAGGTTTAAAGGTGTAAAGGGTCTTGCAAAAGTCCACAAACCATTTAATATTAAATATTAAAATAAAATATATTTTAAAAAAAATAATTATATGCTGCTTAAAGTCCACTGAGTGTATTCCAGTAAATTTTACAGTTTTAAATCGTGGATTTATAATCTTATTAAGCCTACAAACTACAAGAATTGGATGTTGTGTCATACATGGGGAGATGTCAGAATGAAGGATTTGTCACGATGTGAAATGTTTTAGAGTGTTTAGTCTGAAAATGCCGCACCTCCATAATAAGAAAAAGGGACAACTGGGTAGACCACTCCACCCGCCCCTTTCTACGCAATTGGCAGGGGCGTATATAGAGTGTTTGGCGTCAGGGGACGATTCATTTTTACGCCCCACCTCCCTCAACTCTAAAACGAATTATTTTCAACCATTAAATACCATCCAGGCCCACACTTAAGAAATCCTGGGGCCCAGGCAGCTGAGAGAGTTCGGGTCCATTTCGTGTTTCAAACATGTGCGAATATTTTAAAATTCGAAAAAGGGCGGCCCCTATCTAGCTTGGGCTCCTGACAAGTGAAGTGCTATGGTTGTCTCTCCCTCCCCCCCCCCCTCTATATCGGGAAGTTGGTCTAGGGCAGGGGTCGGGAACCTTTTTGTCTGAGAGAGCCATGGACACCACATATTTTGAATCAAACATGTGGGAATATTTTAAAATTCGAAAAAGGGCGGCCCCTTTCTAGCTTGGGCTCCTGACAAGTGAAGGGCTATGGTTGTCTCTCCCCCCCCCCCCCCCTCTATATCGGGAAGTTGGTCTAGGGCAGGGGTCGGGAACCTTTTTGTCTGAGAGAGCCATGGACACCACATATTTTGAAAAGTAATTCCGTGAGAGCCATACATTATGTTTAAAACTAAAAATACAAGTAAATGTGTGCATTTTGTGTAATTTAAACACTAAAAATAATTGCAATAATTATGTTCTGAATTCTTTTTAATAACATTGTTATGCTGTTTCTAATCAATAATGAGTATTTCTTACCATTAATGCGACTTTTTTTTTATAATCGAAAATTTGTCTGCTAGCCAGATGCAGCCATCAATAGAGCCACATCTGGCTCGCGAGCCATAGGTTCCCGACCCCTGGTCTAGGGTATGAATTTGGCCAACGTGGGTCTCCGGACCCATGGTCCGAAAAGCGTTTCTTCCACGGTACTTGCACCCTAAACAATATATGTCATTACACTTAGTGAAAAATCCTTCATACCAACATCTCCCCACTTATGACAAAACATCCAATTCTTATTGGCTTAATTTTATAAATCGACGGATAATCAAAACTGCTGCGCGGCGTCTGTGAGATAAAGGGAGCATTGAGGCATAACTATAATGAATGGTAATGGCGTAGCTAGGAGAGATGTTTGCTGCATCCCTTCTAAAAAACAACAAAAGACTCCTGAAATTCCACCCTCCATAGATAAGACAAAAAAGTGCCGCCCGCCACCTCCAAGCCACCATTCCTGCCTACACCACCGGCAAAATTACTTCATGTTTTAATGAACATATATTTTTTTGTCTAGTTCTCATCTTTGATTTCGTATTAATAAAAATATTGAAGTGGCTATTCGGACCCGGGTCCGCGAAGTGAGAGGTTGGGATTAAAATTTAAAATAAAAATATTATTGTTAGGTTGTAAGACTAAATTTGGTATCAAATGAAAGATAATTGAATGGACTATATGTTTGTAAACTTACTTCTTCAGTTTAACTAAAATAGACTACATTATGATTAATTTTTTTTATTACACGTCTCATAAACAAAATTCAGAAGTTTTTAGAATCTTATTATTTTTATTAGGCTCAAGGCTAGAGGGTTGTTGGGAAAATGCATTAATATATATTCTATCAATTAATTAATTTTTAAATTAACGAGTGGAATGTGTTCATGATGTATGCATTCAATGTTGTTCAAGTAACCTTTAATTTTTTTAATAAGCATTTTTCAGTGTCTTTTTCAATTTTTTTCTGACGTCAATTGATGAAATAGGAGGAATAGTTTTGGAACTACATAATTGAAAAGTTGCATGCTTATTCATATTGATATTCTTTACCTGATGATGGATGGTTTTTAAACAAATGTCTCATAGGAACATTTTTCAGAATTTTTTTATTTAAGTATTTTATTTATCTGGTTCGTGGGGTGGCATTTGAAAAAATTGTGTTATTTTTTTTTCCTATCATTTCTGTCTGTGTTTTCAAATTGTTTTTTTTTTAAATTCATGAATGGTATATGTACATGGTGTATGCATCCTATATCGTTCATGAAGCCTCTAATAAAAAAAACAACACATTTTTATACTTCTTTTTCATTTTTCTCAATATTGCTTTTTTCCGGATTTTTTAGGAACACCAATGAATCAGGAGGAGAAGTATTCTAGCTACAGCCTTCAAACATTACATCCTTCTTTTTTTATTGATATTCTTTACAAGTTACAAGAGGCTTTTTTATATATATCCAACTAGAAAAGTTTTATAACATTTTTACATTTGCTACCCCTAAAAAGTTCTCGAATATTTATGTGACCCCACATACATGCCATTTTAACACTTCCAATAACTGCTGTGTAATAAGCTTCTTTAAACTTTTTGTCAATGTTATTCTTAATGAATGTGTATGCAAAGTTTCATTATGATATTGCAATACAAATTTTTCTCTATTCATTTTGCGTAAAAGTCAAAATTGGTATAACATTTTTAATTTTTTGCAATAAAAGTCACAACAAATTTAAAAAAAATAAACTTTTTTTTTTTTTTTTTTTTTTTTTTTTTTGCATGGTTTTTTGTACTATTAAAAAAAAATAATTAAGAAACATATAATAAGAAAAAAAAATTGACCCATGCCCATGGACCACCTTAATTGAACTGGTTGTGTGCAAGAGATTTGAAAGTTCCAAATAAGTTATTTTAGAAGAAAGAGGGTATCAAAACTACAATTATGAGTATTACAATAATTACATGTCATCTAAAACTTCCACCCATAGTCTCAAATGGCTCTATTTAGGTTATCAGTATAAATGTAGCATGACTTAGTTGCCTTGAATTTGAAACCAAACTCCCTTCACAGATCACACAGTTGTTCCCACTCAATCATTACTTCTGTACTTAAATGAAACTATACAAACAACAATTAACTGTAACGGTACCAACACGGAAGGCGAGAAAGTAAAAGGAGACAAATGGCAAAGGAATGATGTGACCTAATTGAATGATTTTATTGGCTGCCTACTCCATACTAGCCTCTAATTTATTTCATGGATTACTGGAGTACACAACTCAAATAACAAACAACCAAACAAAAATGTTCAAAAGCCAGTTCAGGGGTTTTATTCTATTAAATTTTAAATTATGTACCAGTGTGTTAGACCTAGAAGACAGGTATGGTTAAAAAAAAAGACTAGTGGTTTTCTTTAGTGACGTTATTGTATCAAGTCCTGTGTATTCACTCAGTAACATGGTAATTAAAAATGCGAATTTGTTATAAATTTAAAGTTTACAGGGGAAGTTACTTTAATTATCTTCATGTTTTTATTTTTTAATGATTACTATTTAATAAGCCTTGTTGCTGAATTTGTGATCTAAGTGTATTTTTTTTTTTTCCAATTTATTTAGACTGCCTACAGCCATTTAGGGAGCTAATGATGATTCCTCCAGAAAATCTAATTAATAATGTAAGCAATTTTCTTGCTATGCCATTATTGATTTTTTATATATTATATATTATTAATAATATAATTATATAAATTGACTTTGACTATTATTAATGTTATTGATTTGTCTTGAGACTTGAGTACTTGTGTTGCGGATGGTCATTTGGTGGATGGTAAATGACAGTAAAGGTTCTTGACAGAAATTTTCAGTATTATCATTTTGCCATAAATGCCATAAATGATACATCATTTTAAAGGGCTAGCTATTTATAAGCTTTGCAAAAACATCATTTGGTGGATGGTAAATGACAGTAAAGGTTCTTGACAGAAATTTTCAATATTATCATTATGCCATAAATGATACATCATTTTAAAGGGCTAGCTATTTATAAGCTTTGCAAAAACATCATTTTCATCTTTCTAGCTTTTAATTTTATAGAAACGAAGTTATGGTGTTGTTTTTTTGGCGAAGTTTTTATACCCCTGCCCTGATTTATCTTTGAATTAATTTGATGTATTTTAATAAACTTTTTATATTGATTGTCCCTTTTACTTTACTTAGCCATTATTCTTTACTGCTCTTTAGTCTTTACCCAATTTATACTTTTAGGCTTAGTAGTTAGCCTCAGCACTCTCACCATGCCTCAGGT